GTGGAGTATGAAAGACCTAGACCTCACCGTTTAAAAGAAATGGTCAAGGTTAAAGTTTTTCCATAAGTACAGAAATCTCCAAGACCAAGGTCAAAAGGTCAAAGTTGTTGAAATTATATGAAAGGTCTTCACACAAGGATTATGTGTGATAAGAATTAAAGTCCTAATACCTATTGTTCAATAGTTATGGCCAAAGTTCAAGTTTTTTCATGAGTATGAAAATCTCCAAGGTCAAGGTCAAAAGGTCAAAGTTGTTGGTATGTAGTGAAAGGTCTTGCCACAAAAAATATGTGAAATATAAAAGTCCAAGTACTTACTGTTTAAAAGTTATGGCCAAAGTTAAAGTTTGGAATTTTTGTGTAAAAGTGGGTCAAACTAAAAAGTCAAGGTCAAATTTGGTGGTGCCCAAAGAAAGATATTGTCCTAAGGAATACACATGTGAAATATGAGAGTCATAGTTCCACTAAATCAAAAGTTATGGGCAAGGTTAAAGTTTTTGTGACGGACGGACAGACAGATTGACAGATGAATGAGATTTAATGTCTCCTTGCTTTCGCGAAAGCGGGGGACAATGAGGGGTCTGTAGTTGGACTCTGTAAGACTAGGTGGGTTGAACATCATATCTGCTTTAATGTGTTCTACTCTATGTAAAAGTTCGTCATCAAATGTCTGCAGCACATTATCAATCAAAACCTTGATGACAGTATCATTGAAGACTGGTCTTGGGATAGAGAAACTAAAGTGACCACACAGAGTTTTTTGGCTTCGATGACGTCCTTCTCTGTGTCGACAATATTTGTGTTTGTAAGGTAAGTCCTAGAAACAATAAAACCTTTGACTCTGAAGCTCCAGAAAAGAGATATTGACATTTTCACTTCAAGTTAGTTGATTGAGGAACACGTGGATAGGATCAAAGAAATTCGTACAGCGGTACAGCGGTAGATACTGAGTTTGAGTCTCGCTTTGAAAACGCAAAACAAATTGCAGATGACCTTGATATAGTGATTAAAATTCCAAGGGTTTTACCCTTTGACCTTGACCTTGGAGTTTTAACTTTTTAAAAAGAAATTAACCTCCATAACTTTTAATCCAAAAAATTATATTTCACATATGTATTCTTTGTGGCTATGCCATTGGATATCAACAACTTTGACTTTTTTCTTAGTGAATTTGAGGTTTATGTAAAAACTTTAACCTTGACCACAACTTTTGCATATTAATATGCTTTTGTTGCACATACGTCAATCCTTGACAAATCTCTCACAACTTTGACCCTTTGATCTTGACCTTGGACTTGACCTACTTTTAAAACTGATATTTTTAACGGTCAGGAAAGCGTTTTCACCTTCAAATAAATCAACTTCAATGATAATTTCTGTAAAGGTAAAGAACTTCAAGATTGGAAACATTATAATTGTGTTAACATGAAACAAAGACACCAAAGCGGGGGACAAGCTCTTTGAATTTGTTTGGCTGATCCTTCTTTTCAATATTTGTGTTTGTAAGGTAAGTCCTAGAAACAATAAAACCGTTGACTTTTCCAGAAAAGAGATAAATTTTTCACTGCACATTGGATGTGTCTTACCTATCACAAAATGTAAGGCTGGAAGATCCTTTTCTCGCTTTGAAAACGCAAAACAAATTGCAGATGACCTTGATATATGATTAAAATCCCAAGTACTTTGCAAGAGCAACACAGAGAAAATACTGGACTTGCAAAAAATTATTAGCTCTCTCGTGGCTATGCCATTCCCGGACTTTTTTCTTAGTGAATTTGAGGTTTCAGAAAGAAGATCTGGTTGCATATTCAATATGCTCGTTGTTGCCTGTCAATATGACAAATCTCTCACAAGAGGAATTGTCCAAACTTGCCTCAAAACTGATATTTTGGGGAAGCGACCTGTCTTGTCTTTCTGTAAAGGGAAAGAACTTCAAGATTGGAAACATTATAATTGTGTTAACATGAGCAAAGAAACCAGACAAGCTCTGCAATCTGATCCTTCTTTTCAACTTTGTATAGATGGGGACGTTTTTTCCGAACGTGAAAATTCTTCTGCACATTGCATGTGTGTTACCTATCACAAAATGTAAGGCTGAAAGATCCTTTTATTTTCTCGATAAAGACGCATAGTACATGTACAAGTGGTGAATCAAGAGTTATACACGCGCAGTACTTTGCAAAGAATTTCTGGAGATTTTAACTTGTGCACTAATGCTCTGCCTTCACTAGGTATTCATTAGAAATTGACCAAAAGGAAATTGTACAATCATTTATCAGGCAAGGAAAACGAAGATTACTAGTATTTCAGTCAAGTCTCTTAAGCTAAATAACGCTTCCTACGTACACTGTAAAAAATGTGTTTAGATAATAGACACTTTCCTAAGCACTTTCTTGTCATACTTTTTTTGATTCGTTGAAATTCTAAACACATTGAATTTCATTACGTGTAACGGAAAGTGTTTAGACCCTAAACACTTACATGTTTAGACTTTAAACACTTTACAAAACATGTTATGATACATATTGGATGTTTTCCTTGTCTTCCTGCAAGAAAACTGAAAAAATAACAATTGTTTACATTTTAAATTTTATTCAATGAACATTCAAACATGGATTTTTTATAAAGAATTTTAAATTAAATATACATGTACATTAAATTTTTACACGCTGGTTTTAATTCTAACCAGATTAGCAAGCAGTTATTTCTCATGTCTGTATCAAGTTTAACTTCCAGCAATTTTTCACTGAGCAACACACGCATAATTTGTTTTCATCTGTGACCGTCAGTAGGTAATCCACTGTCATTATTTGAGAATATTTTTAGGTTGTTCAAAGCTATAACGAACAGCAGACTTCACAAAACTGTTTCCCCTAGAAAGTTGTTGAAAAATGTAAGAACGATGGCATGTCATTGTGGACTTGGAGATGGCAACAGTTTCTCTGATACGTGTATTTTTGCTTTCGAGTTCGATGTGGACCATATCCTGTAAGAAAGAAATTAAGATCTTATCAAAATATGCTTTTCAATGGCTGGATTTGTATGAACCTTTTTTTTTTTTTTTTTTTTACATGTTTGATAGCTATTATTGTGCTACTTTTATTGAACCTCGTCTATATAACCACTATTTAGTATTGATACTGTTATAGATATAATTGATATTCTATATAATGTACTCCTTTCTAGATTTCAGGAATACAAAATATAACCGAAGGTAATCTTGATCTACAGCTACATGTGCAAACGCATGTCTGTTTACGTAGCCCATCATGGTCAATTTATGTAAAATAAAAATAATAGTTAACATACCTTTTATCGCAGTAATGTTGCAGTTTAAATGCATTTCACAATCTCTTCATTGTTATCACTTTGATTAGCATTCACTTCCTTTAATCCATCTTCTTTAGCTAACATTTGGGATTTCCTTTGTTTCGATAACCGCTCTATTTATCATTCGAATATATATGCGTCATTTCCGGGAAGATAACTCTGCACTTCACAGAAAAGTGTTCAATTTCTAAACACATATCTAAACATGTGTTAAATCTTAACATCATTTAGATATAACACATGTTTAGACATAAGTGTTTAGCCGTTAAACACAATCTAACACACGTTTAGACCTAAGTGTTTAGCCGTTAAACACAATCTTATACATGTTTAGGTCAAAACATGTAATGGAAGTGTTTATTTTCTAAGCGCATTTTTTACAGTGTAGTGCAGTGGTTAAAACGTCTGCTCTAAAGTCGGGGAAGTAAGGAGTTGATCCTTACGACGCGGGTTCGAATCCCACTGTTAGACGTGGAGACCAGTCCTTCGGATGAGGCCCTATAAACCGAGGTCCCGTGTCGCAGTAGGTGCTGGCACGGAAAAGACCACTAGTGACTTTTGACCAATTCATAGGAAAGAGTGTAATTCTGATATTATGACGTCATCAACTAAATCTATAATTTTTTAAAATTAGTTTAATTTCTTCCGTTGACGTTTTTTATGCCCTCTTCGAAGAAGGGCGGGCATATTGCTTTGCTGTTGTCGGTTGGTAAATCTCATCATCTCGCTGAGATTATCGGTCGGTCTGTCTGTCGGTCCATATAAAAGTTTCCGTTCATTTTCTTCGGTCATAGAAATTCTTATTTGCAGTTTCTTTCCTTTCATTTTCTTCGCAACGGTTGCGCATACTGAAATGAAATTTGGTAGAAATATTTATCATATGAATATCTATGTCGAGTCCTGTTTTGGATACGATCAAATCATTTTTGACAGAATTATGCCCCTTACTTACCTACATAGTCCTCTTCGTTCCTTGTGGAGCATAGGGCTACTACAGTCGCTCTCCACCTTACTCTGTTTTGGGCTTATTTTTTTTTGCCTCATTCCAGGTTTTTCCAATGTTTTCAAGCTCTTTCAATCTTGTTCTCCTCCAACTGTGTAATGATCGCCCTTGTTTTCTCTGACCTTGTGGATTCCAGTCCAATGCCTATCTAATGATGCTGTTTTGGGTCTTTCTCCATGTATGACCAATTCACTGCCATGCTCGTTTCTTCATCTGGCCCCTTGGACTTAGAAAAATTCCAATTATTTGGGGGGGGGGGGGGCATAAGTATTTTACAAACATCTCTTGCATTTTTTTTTTATATCGGCACAATATTTTAAAGTTCTGGTTCAAATTTCCCCATATATATTTGTCTGTGTTTTACTTCAATTATTTTAAAATTAATTAAATCGGTTTATACATTTCTTAAATCCCATAGGGGCCTAAGAGTGTATTTTCTGGGGGATGCTCTACAGGAATCCAATGTACGTATGGTAAATCAGATTCCCATTCGTTGACTGGAATGTCAGATGTATTAAAGACAAGAGATGTGATTTTGAAGAATTTCCATGCAGGAAAAGTGAACTATCATAGATTTTCAAATCTTCTAATGCAGAGGAGAAAGAGAAATAAGGCCAAGCCTCAGTTTGGTAAAAAAAAAAAAGCAGCGATGGTTCACAAAAGATAACTCAATTTGGGTACGTATATAATTTTTAATACACACATACAAGTTTCAACATATACTCAGAGCACAACATAACAACCATCATTAACTCTATTTTCAAGAATACGTTCAAATTAAAATAGATCTTTTGATACGCTCACATACGATTCTAACAATACCAGTGCAGCTAAGTAGCGATCATAGATGAGCGGTTCAAATGATCTTTTTTTTCATAATAAAGATTTATTTAATTTAACTATAATGCCTATAAATATTATACTGGCATGCTTTATTATATAAATACAGTCTAGAGGACTATCGCATTCTTATGGACGGAAGGTGTACCATATTTCATATTATACAAGAAGATAAAATGCCCAACAAGAATCGAATTCTTCAGCTCTATAATAAGCCCCGTAGTTGATTCAAAGTCACTTATGATAGCAAATGTATCACAGGTCCAATTCATCTGGCGATACATGAAGATATGTCGTGGAAGACATTTTGGACGGAAGACCATCTTCCTCAGTGGACGATCTCTTTCGCTTTTTGGAGGTAGAATTGTTATGCATAGCACTGTCTGATGTTTGGTGTTCATGGACTTGAGAATTTTTAGGTTGGGAAGCAGATATTGCACTATTTAAAGAATCAGAAATAAGTGACTGATGAGTGGACACGTTATTCAGGGGCTGGTGTTTGGCTGTTTGACACAGTTTACTGTCTTGGTCACAGAAGTTTCCGCGAAGCCACACGTGATGCCTGCCGTCAACGTAATGACGGAAATGACGCACAACACGACTACCTAATGAATCGTAACTCTCTCCCATGACCTGTAAAGAGACATCAGTATTATATTTCACAAACTGAGAGTAGTTGTTGTCTTTAAAGTATTTAGATTCTTAAGTAGTCTTTAAAGTATTTAAATTCTTAAGTACTGCTAATGTATGCTTAATTAATTCGCAAAGCATATGTTTATTCTGAGTTTTAACGTGTACCTCTATTTCCATTTCCTGATTTCCTATGAGTATTTTGGCTTTGTACAGGGTCGTGGTTTTAGACCCGTGAACACCTTTACTGTGTATCCGCCCCAGAACTTCCAGGTCCAGTTCATCTAAAACTTCCTGTCGGATCGTGGTCACGTCACTGCCTGTGTCCACCATGAACTCTGAAATAGAACAGTACTCAACATAGTTTTTAATCAGTTGTAAAATGTATCTAGTTAAAGTAGTTTGCAATGACACTCCCCCCCAGTTTGATCAAATTACGCAATCACCAAGAGCGGAATCGAAACATTTATTTCAGTTTAACTGTGCACAAGGGTGAAGTGGGCAATTTTTCTAAATCAAGAATTAATATTATATAAAAAAAAAATCTTTTAAAAATTGACCGAATCTTTCAGTTAGTCGAGCAGCTAGCCAGTCGCCTGCGTGGCGCAGTGGTTAGAACATTTGCTCTAGAGTCGCGAAGTAAGGAGTTGATCCTTATCTCGCGAGTTCGAATCCCACTGTGGGACGTGGAGACCGGTCCTTCAGATGAGACTGTATAGACCGAGATCCCATGTCGGAGTAGCTGCTGGCACGAAAAAAGATCCCTCACTGCTCAGTGGCGCTGAGTGCCGAGTACAGGTTAACATTTGTAGCTCTCCACCGGCAATTGGTGGTGTCTCCATATATGAGTGAAAAATTCTCCAGAGTGGTACGTTAAACAACACACAATCAATCAATCTCTAGCTGCAACGAGTATGTATCAGGTTAGCAATTCTGCAGCTAGTTTGGTGAGAAAAAGACCCAGTGTGAGCACCTTAATCTATAGAGATTCACTCCTTACCTATTCTGCGACATTTAGAGGGTTCCTTAGTTGAGTAAATACCGGCATCTACCACAAGGAAATCAAACTTGGCGTCGCTGAGCGTGGCCGGTTTTTTCCACCGACCACAAGCTAATACATCCTCGGTGGGACAGTCTCCTGCCTGCTCCTTCTGTAACTGGGTCACTGGGGGAAAAAATAAGGTTCTACTGTAAACAGTCCAAGTATTTGATGTATGTTTGTTAATATAAATTAGTAATTTATTAAGTATCCTCTGATATGGAATATTTTAATGCAATTGCTTGTCACATCTTAAAATATACAAGTTCTATTACAATTTACAAGCTATTTCATTCATGCTGTCAGCAAAATCGGTTAATTTATTATGTAAACTGTTTAGCCTAAAGTTTAAAATATCGATACGTTACAATGGAATTATTTAGTAATGAAATTCTTTTGTTACCCACTAACCAAAGCGCACCTGTCTTTTTTGGTCTGCTTTTGAAATATTTGATTTCTGAATCAAAGGAGGACGAAATCGATCCAGCATCATTTACAGTCAATGTTTGACTGAGACAGAACCCGGGATATTGATATCGGGTAAAATATTAAAATTCTACCGATATGACTTATACAGTACGCTTGTCAATTAATTAATTGGATTTGTGGAATCATAAGGAAATGCTCTTAGGGAAACAGAATTAACTGTCACCCAAACAACGAGTCGTTGATTTTCGATCGATGCCACAAAGGTTGTCATGATAATAAATATCTCTCAACCCCCCACCCCCTTCCTACAATAAAAGAAAATATAAGACCCATATGGGCAGTTTTGGTGTAAAATCATATTTTCTATTATCTGAATAATTTAAAATTCTCCATATAGTTAAATTGGAATACGAAATACTATGCATTTGCTTCCATTTTACGATCAATAGGGTTAAGATACACATTATGTCTACCTGCTCGCTTCAGTCTCTTTTTGTGTCCAGGAAGTGTTATTTCAAGTTCATCAAACAGGTTCTCATCTATTTTCATATTTCTCACATCGTTCATTGACGTAATTTCACTCTGTATGAAACCGACGTAATAATGTTCCAGGCCATAACGTTGTAACCAATCAAGAATCCGAAAACTTCCGGGAGACCGATACTGTGCCGCTGAAAAGAGAGGATTAGGCAGGCTTGAATTGGGTTTCATTACTGGAAAAAAGTTTTCAAAATCAAGAACTACGGGAATTAAATACTTGTAAATCAAATTTAGAACTGTTTTCAGTTTCTGGCTTACTAAAAGACGTGTAATATCGATGATCTGCCGCTGCATTAGGGGATTTTTTTTTTACAAGCATTTTTTTTCAGGTTCTGAAACCTGTAATTTTATCAGAAAATAATGTCAGGAATTTGAAAAAATTTGCCTGAATCACGCAAAACCTCAACATTTTTTTTTCTTCTTTTAAATTTCCCGTTTTACTACATGTCTTTTCCTCAAGACGAAATGTTTTAAGTTGTGTACTGTGTACTTGAATACGGGTACAAATTCTCTACATACATGTAGGCCCCCTATATGTTAATTGTATAATACCCAAAACAACAGTGCGTATTTATGCGTTTTTTCTACAGTGCATTTCCGTTTGTCAAAACTTCGATAGACAGGTACTGATATTGTTAATAAATCTTTCAATTATGACACGTAAATCATAAAATGAATATATGCTTTTTGATTCATTATCTTTAAATACATGATCGACTGTACAAAGAGAGAATTTTGTAGCATAAACATGTACATGTACATGTATACATATGGCATTTTGAACATGTATATATGTAGAACCATCTTTGCGGTTTACGTCTTTACGAACAATAAATCAATACTAAAGCATACTGCTGCATTATTCCGTAATTGTCTGTTAAAAATAACACCTTTAAATGCTTTCATTTATCAGTTTCCCACTGTAACCACAAATTCTGAAATCGATACACTATTTTCATTTCACTTCGATAATCGCTTTCCCTGCGGAGGGATGCAAAATTAATGTCGGACATGAAACGACAGGTGCGCGACAGGTACTATACACACAATGCCATTACAATGATATATCTGAACATATATCCAAGTGTAAAAATAAACTTGAGCAATCTTTATATAAATATATACACATTAAAAAACTGTCTCAGAACATTATTTCAAACTGATTCAGTTATAAAGCTTCCCTCTACTTAGGCACCTCCGGGATACGTTAATTGCAATCATTATTGATTAACCAATAATATTTTCGCCGCATCATTTCCTTCGCCTTTATGGAACTTGAATTAGGCTAACTAGTTCTAATATTTCTTGAGTGGACATTCAATTAATATCAATTTAAACTAAGTTACTTTCAGAACTATCATATAATTCATGCTGAACTGCATACTTATAGCCTGGGTTTTCGGACAATTCTGGAATCTGCTCCCGTGCAAAACCACAGGAAGAATTTAAGGGGTGTGTGTGAAATGGAACCCCAATTACTTTTTTTAAAATTAGAAATTCCAGATAAGCAGGTATAGAAATATTAACTTGAGTTAGTATTGAGGGATGCAACCAAAATTAGACTTGTTTTCTTTCTGTGACTTGAAATTTTTTCTGGCTGGGAAAGGAATCCGGACTGACCGGAGGGCGGGCACGACTCCCCCCCCCCCCCCCCATTATACCCCGAAAACTCAAGACAAACTAATTAAGATTAATGTTATCTAATATTTCATGGGAGAGCTGAAAATGTTTACTAACTATGTAAGTTCAGATACTTACTTAATTTGTTAACAGGCTACTTGGATTTATAGTCTTACCTAGTCTCGTTCAACCAGACACTCGGCTGTCTCCGTAAATCTCCGACCAGCCAGAGGGTCTGGTAAAGATACGTGATATCGTTTGTAACGCCAAAACGAGGCTTACCAAAATTCTGGTAAAGTTTTTGATTGGCTGAAAAGAACAATTTAAACAAATACATGGTTAATCGACAGAAAAATAACTAAAAGTTTTAAAAGTTGAATGTCTAAAAGTTAAAGCAGATAAAGAGGAATGATTTTATTGTTTACGGTAATGTCAATGGGTTATAGGTAAGTGTGTTTTATAAAATGTCTTGCATGTTTTATATTTCCAGAAGCTAAAGTGAAAGTAGTGTAGCTACCTGCGGAATACATATTTCCTCTATTGATATTGTAATTACTCGTTTTTATGTACAAATTTAAAAATAAGTTTATTAATATAAACTCACAATCTATCAGAATAAACATGTTAAATATTCGTTTCAAAAAAGGTCATCAAAATGTAAACAAGATAGCGCCCTCTGATTTATAGTCTTACCACAAATCCTGACCCGGAAGTAAACTTACCGGCCTGTAATATTTGGTGCCTGTGATCAGGATCCGAGATCATCATTGTGTCCAGGTCATTCTCGTCTAGAGCAGTAATGTCTGTTTCACTGTCGTAGCCCCTTATTAAAAACATGTCCAAGTATTGCACTAATCCCATCTTCTCTAAAAATTTTCGTATTGGAAGCGTCTGCAAACGTTCTGTCATTGTACCCTTGTTTAAAGGTGTTCCCAAAACTCATGATAGTTTGAACATAAATCAATATATTTATGCTAAAATTGCATTTTTAGTTTGTTGTCAGCCCTTTCCCAGCATGTGATCTCAAGAATGTCAACACATGCTTTGAAACCTAAACGGTCTGATTTGAAGCTTTTGATTGGATATCACTTTATGGGACGCTTTAATGTATCCAATGACAATATCGATTAGAAATGCCTCGGTACTGTTAGAAAGGGGGTTTCCGTCCATATTTATTTATAGAATACTTAAGCCAATGGTGTAGTTCCCTTTGCATCACGTGGTTACAGGATTCCGTTTAACCACGTTGACATAACAAAGATGGCGACTAGCTCAACGAGTCAGAAAATTGCTCTCATAACCGGTATTACAGGCCAGGTAAATATACAGCAAAATCTATTGAATTATTGTTTTAAAAAATGAATTTATTATTTGAATATATTTACCAAATAGTAGAATATATTAGATCACTTAGCTTTATGTACTTTTACAGACAAATAAAATTTGCCAAAACACACCCTGTTTTATAAGGCCGGAGGCAATTTCATTGGGTGGGGGCATCAAAAGGTGTTAATGAGGGGTCAAACTCATAAAGTACCTTTTTTATATGATATGGTGTCTGAAAAATTATTATTGAGAGGCACAACCCTGCCCTACAGTATATCCTGGAACCTCGTATTTGTTGTATAAGCCATAATAAGGTTATTAAGGGATAAAGCCCTGTCAGTTTTTATCCTCAGTTGATTAAATGACTTGCAAAATTAATATTTCAATTTTTCTATTTCAATTAACAAAGCCATGTTTGAAAACTGACCAAGGGTCTATCATAATAAGTTATCAGTATGTCTACGTTTCAGGCATTTAAATAAACTATTGTAAATAATATATGTTTGCAATGTAGGGACAGAAACATATAAAACCAATAAACAATACTTGATCTATGTGCACAGATATCTTGAAATATTTCCATTTCTTTTTGCTTTCTCTGTGATAACTCTTTGAAAGTTACTAAAGATGATTTTTTTATCATTCTACTGGGATGTTAATTTTGCCAATCGATAGGTCAGGAGCTAAAGAGGCCTAACTTGAATGTAAATCCTGTACATCTTCTGTCTTTGTGTCTGAACGCTAAGGAGGCTTGATTGATACAGTGTCTGAAAAACACTACTCTGTCTATTTAGCGGAGTATGCTAGGGACACCGTGATAGTTGAAAACGTGGGATAATTTATGCATAACGGTTTTGCCCATTATGCAAATTATTCTACATTTCCAACTATCGTTGATGCCTTGGCATATTCTACTAAGTGGACGGTGATTCCTTAAATACCATGGATATCTCAAAGTCATTTGGAAGTCAATTAATCCCATCTACTATTGCTTTGTGTATGGTATTTAAGTATCTCAAATGTCCACATATCTCTCTATAAAGTTTTTGCTTCAGCCTTGGTCCTACTGAGTTTAAGATAACATTAGGTAGTATAATATTTAATATTTAAGCTAAATGCAACGTCGAAATTCTTTTAAAGATCACTTGTTAAATAGCATTTTCTTCTAATTATTGACAACAATTTTGTGTGTTGAATACCGCTGACACCACTGATTTTAATTTCTGTTTCCAAATTGCTGTGTGAGATATGATATAGTGACATAAACAATTATTTGTTTACTGCCAGATTTTTATGATTTGGTGCAAAATATCAGTAATTTTCTTAATTTAAGGGATAATGCCTTGGGACTAAGAGTCCTTTAACATCTTTGATATTAAAGGAAAAAAAATGTGTTTTATTTGTAGGATGGTTCTTATCTGGCAGAATTCTTATTGGCCAAAGGTTATCAGGTAAGTAGCTAACACTAAAAACACTACTCACATGTAGCATGCAGAGTTCTTGAATTCTTTTTTTTTCTGCTGTCAGTCATTTGGACTGAATATCATGGAAAGTTTGTCAGTTCAGACAGATATCTATCAGTCCCAAAAAAAGTCAATAAAAAGATGAAAACTGTATTTGAATTTTATCATCAATGCATTTTGCACCCTGCGTCAATACACACTGCACACTTCTTGCCGATTTGATCATCCTATAATAATTTTCGTTTAATTCTCGTGGGAGGTCGATTTTCTTCATAAGTTTTTTATCTACTGGGTAGTTTGATTTTCTCACCTGGCTTACATTATCGCCGTCAACAAACTTGATGAAACAATTAATAAATCATAGTTTGGTACTTTGCGTTCATCGAAGAAGCCATTACGAGATACTGAAGTGTTTAACAGATTATGATCGGTAGGTTATAGGCAATTCATATAAAATTTATTCGGATTTTCGCAAGTTGCTCTCTCATTATCTACCGGTCATTTGGACTGACACAGATCCTTGGTTGTTTTTATCGGTCTTGATGACAGGACCGAAAGATTTCAAGAACTCTGTAAGCCAGTGAAGAAGTTTGTAGAGGAGTTACAAATCAGGTGTTTAAATGACACATGATACACTTTACTCGCCATTGTATTCATGGATATCTGAGCATACAAGGTATCCTGCCTGAATCATTTAAAGTTGTTTTGACTCGTCCAAGGTCATATGTATACACATATATGAGCTGATTTTTTATTGATTTTTTTTTAAAAGCATGTTAATTCTTGGAAAGAAAATAAGAAGTTCATGCAGTGTTTAATTTTGTGGTCTCCCAACTATCTGTGAATTTTCACAGCGTGAATTCAATGTATTGTTCAGTTAAAGGTGTTCTTTATTTGATCCCTTACCGAGACGACATAGCTGCACAGAAACAATAGAATTTCTTGATCTTTTGTCTTACTTCAGACAGTGAAATGATCAATAACACCAACAGCTTGTTATGTCTCTTTGAAGGTATAAATTACCAATATTACACTTTATTATGTTAGGGTGACCAGATTTTGGCTCAACTGAGCTGAAAGCTTAAGTAAGCTTTTCCAATCATCCGTTGTCAGTCGTCTGTCCGTCTAGCTGTCTGTCCGTCCATCTGTAAACTTTTCACATTTTCATCTTCTTCCTCTCAAGAACCACTTAGCCAATTTTAACCAAACTTGGTACAAAGCATCATTGAAGAGTTAAAATTGTTCAATTGTGAAGGGCCAATTTCCTTTCCAAGGGGAGATAATCAGGAAAAGACAAAGGCAGGGTAGGGTAAAAAAAAAATCTTCTCAAGAATCTCTGGGCCAGAAAAGCTGAAACTTATATGGAAGCATCCTCAGGTAGTATAGATTCTAAATTGTCCAAATCATGACCTCCGGGGGAAGGCCGGGGTCACAAAAGGTGTTACTCAGGTGAACAATATGGCCCATGGGCCTCTTGTTTGAAAGATGTTTTCTTTTTTGATTATTAATGGAGTGAACTGGAAAAACATTGATGTAATACCCCAAGATATAAAATTATGCCCCCCCTTTTGAAGAAGGGAGGGTATAATGCTTTGCTGTTTTCTGTCCATCGATAGGTTCCGTCTGTCAGTCAACAACAGTTTCCATTCATTTTCTACGCAGAGGTTGCACACACTGAAGTGAGAAGTATCATAAAAATATTTAGGCCAGGTTCTGTTTTGGATACAATCAAGCAATTTTTAACAGAGTTATGCCCCTTTGACTTCAATTATTTGCAGTGTCTGTTCCTCATTTTCTTTGCAAAGGTTGCACATACTGAAATGAAATTTGGTATACAGGTTTATCATAAGAATATCTAGGTCAAGTTCTATTTTGGGTACAATCAAGCAGTTTTTGAGAGAGTTATGTATCTTGGACTTGTGTAGAAAAATTTCAATTATTTTGCAGTTTTAGTTCATTTTCATTGCAGAGGTTGCACATACTGAAGTGAAATTTAGTATATAGATTTATCATAAGGATATCTAATTCAAGTTGTGTTTTAGATATGATAGAGCAATTTTTGACAGAGTTATGCCATTTGGACTTGAACAATTCCAACCAATTATTAGCAGTTTCTGTTCAATTTCTTCGCATGTATTCCATGGAGGGAGTGGGGGTCACAAACAACTCTTGTTACAGTACTATAGACACAAGACACTTTTTATTGTACAGTATTATACATTTTATCGCCCCAGGTACATGTACTACTGGGTAGCAGTTTAACAGGATATAAAAACTTTTTTTAATTATTTGATTAACGTTGACTATTTCTAGGTTCATGGCATCATTAGGAGATCCAGTTCTTTCAACACTTCGAGGATAGAGCACCTGTATGCCGACCCTAAGTCCCACACCGAAGGATGTATGTATTTTACCCCCTCATTGATCATTGCACAAACATGAATTGATAAGACCTTTTGATTAGATATATTCTAGTACATCACTTATGCCTACGTTGCCACTGTCTTAAGCTAGCTAGCTTTACAAACTAATCAGCTACACTACATTTAAGAAGACCCTCAATTACGTAGATGGGGCACCATACAGGAAATATCTTTGTGCCATCATAAGAAATTTTTTTTAATATAACTAATATCAAACCATGTAATAATGCTTCATACATAAACACTATCTCTTATTTATCAAAAAATACAACATCTCACGATTTGAAGATTGTTCAGTATTTTGAAGCCTATTGTATGCCCTATATGACTTCACTGGCCCTTGGCTTTTTCTTTTCATATACCTTTTGAATTATTTTTTGTGCTTGACATTTTTTGCCAGACCAATGTAAGTACTGGAGGGATGTATAAATTGTAGATTTTAATGGATACAACCTTAATCACTATAGCATTATTTCAAGCTTTAACCATTTACATGCTTGACTCAGTGTATAAAGCCAAATTTATCAACACATTAACATTCAGTATACTGATGTGGTATAGTAGTGATCATTTCCTGTCACACACAAAACAGCATAAGAATTAGCATATAACTCCAGGAGCATAGTGTAAATGTTAAAATCATCAGCATACTGTAAACATTTAAATCAGCAGCATACTGTAAATGTTTAAACCAGAAGCATACTGTAAACATTGAAATCAGCAGCATACTGTAAACATTGAAATCAGCAGCATACTGTAAATGTTTAAATCAGCAGCATACTGTAAACGTTTAAATCAGCAGCATACTGTAAACGTTTAAATCAGCAGCATACTGTAAACATTTAAATCATCAGCATACTGTAAACGTTTAAATCATAAACATTTAAATCAGCAGCATACTGTAAACATTGAAATCAGCAGCATACTGTAAACTTTGAAATCAGAGCATACTGTAAACATTTAAATCAGCAGCGTACTATAAATGTTTAAATCAGCAGCATACTGTAAATGTTTAAATCAGCAGCATACTTTTATTTTACAAATTATTAAGATAATTGATCATTCAATATTGAAATTATTACCATACAGTACTGTAATAATTAAAAGAACTACGAACTCTAACTCTCGATTTCGGCCTACATTTTGCACCCTTTGAATTCAATATTAATGGCAGTATGGCCATATAATCTTTGTTCAATACATAGAACAGTTCAATGGTATTGGTAATTGATTAATTATTTAATACCAGCTCTAGATAGTAAATTATCTTTAATTCCAGCTCTTTAAGAAAGGGGGGTAGACAATATTTTCCATTGAAATTGGACTTTCAAGGGCGTCTCCATATTTAGAAATAGTCTTGGATATGATTAAATATTCCTTATATCTTTTCTTATGTTTTACGCAAATAAATAAAACACATATAAATTGATAAAATACAATGTTTTAGTTTTAAAATGCTTTGAAATTGGTGAAAAAATAAACATTTTTGTCAGTTTTTTTGTCTATAGACATATGATTGTCCCAAATAAGTAATGTAAGTTTTAGAAAAATCCGTAAAAATATCTATAAAAATATTCAAATATATTAACTTTTGAAAATTACTTTGGAAGTAGACTGGAGAACTATCATTTGCAATTCTTTTTAGCATACTGCAAATGTTGAAATCATTAACATTTTACAGCAAAACTTGGTTATAACGAAGTCACTGAGACCTATGAAATTACTTCACTATATCCGTTATTCATTATAACCGTATAAGAAATTCATTATATTTATAAGCTGGGGATCCAAGATGACTTCGCTATATCCATAAATTTGCAATATCTGTGTTTGTACTGAACGAGTTTTACTGCATTGTAAATGTAGAAATATTGGCATATACTATCAAATTGAAGTCATTATTATATGTATAAATTGAAATCATTGGCATACTGTAATTGTTGAAATCATTAGCATAATGAAATGTTTACAGTAAGCATCATCTTCCCAAGTCAGGAGTTTCTGATCCGCTCCGCTCCACATAAACCCTTGACCGAATAGACTAAGTTTGAGGGGGTCAGAAATGCATTTTCTGATTGACCTCATGCAAGTCTGCATGAACCAATCAAAATCGTTCTTTTATTTAACCTGAAACTAAATTGTAAACAGAAGAACACACCAGTTTTAGTCCCAAGGATAACGTCTTTATCATTAAATACTAAATAGACCAGTTAAAGGTTTGTCTCAGCTTTTTATACCCCCCGCAAACGAAGTTTGGGGGGTATATAGGAATCACCTTGTCCGTCTGTCTGTCTGTCTGTCTGTCTAGCTGTCCGTCTGTCTGTGCAATCGTGTCCGGTCCATATCTTTCTTACATAGGGACATTAGAATCTACTACTCCACACAAAGATTGCCCATGACCTAAGGGTGTGTCATGACCTTGACCTAAGGTCATTTGGGGAAGTTCAAGGTCACTGGAAGAAAAAATTCATAATTCCTGTCCGGTCCATATCTTTCTTATGAATAAACTTGGTAGGTTCTCATTTCACAAAAAGATTGCTCATGACCCAAGGGTGTGTCATGAACTTGACCTAAGGTCATTTGGGGAAGTTCAAGGTCACTGGAAGAAAAATTTCATAACTCGTGTCCGGTCCATATCTTTCTAATGGATAAACTTGGTAGGTTCTCATTTCACACAAAGATTGCCCATGACCCAAGGGTGTGTCATGACCTTGACCCAAGGTCATTTGGGGAAGTTCAAGGTCATTGGAAGTAAAACTCATAATTTGTGTCCGGTCCACATCTTCCTTATGGATAAACTTGGTAGGTTCTCATTTCGCACAAAGATTGCCCATGACCCAAGGGTGTGTCATGACCTTGACCCAAGGTCATTTGGGGGAAGTTCAAGGTCACTGGAAGAAAATATTTATACTTCCTGTCCAGTCCATACCTTTCCTATGGATAAACTTGGTAGGTTGTCATTTCACACAAAGATTGCCCATGACCCAAGGGTGTGTCATGACCTTGACCCAAGGTCATTTGGGGAAGTTCAAGGTCACTGGAAGAAAAATTTCATAATTCGTGTCCGGTCCATATCTTTCTTATGGAAAAACTTACTTCTGATAAACCCAGCCGGCGGTATTTTGTCCCGTTTGGACAGTTCTAGTTAGTTCAGTTATATTGAATTTATTACTGACTGACAATATTATCTCAAGTTCTCTGTTGAATTCATTTACTCTGATTGGCCAATAGCAGAGGTCAGTAGAGTTCAAAATGTGTAATCTCACTAGATGGCATGACAGTAAACCCCGTCAAACTTGTGGAGCGGAGCGGATCAGAAACTCTTGACTTGGGAAGATGAGTAAGCATTAGCATAATGAAATGTTTGCATTGCTGTAAATGCTGAAAATACTGCTTGGGTATAAATCTTTGCAAGTATTGTTCATGAAACTTTCCAAATAGGGGTTAGTTTCATGTATATTTCATGTATATGTACATTGGTCCTCATGGGTTAAACCTTGCAAACCGAATATTAGGCATGGGTGACAGTGCATGGATTTGAGCTAGACTTCCCTGGTGTATTATTACAATATCTATTTTGTTGTAGAAATTTTGTATGTCATAATAAACAGGGAAATTTTTTCAAGTAATTAAGAAATTAGTGAATTTTTATTGTCAGTTGTTAATTGGCTAAAATTTTTTTTTAGCTCTGGTAAAATCATTGACATGAACATTTTGATCAATGGACCCCTGTGCTTTCTTTTCAGCCATGCATCTTCACTATGGTGATCTCACAGACAGTACCTGTTTAGTTAAAATTATCAGTCAAGTCCGTCCTAACGAAATCTACAACCTGGGAGCCCAGAGCCATGTCAAGGTAAGTAATATCGTCCTCATCAACTGACACATGTTACAAGACTTGGTAACAAAATAACGTTATCAGCTGTGGGGAAATTTTATTTACATGTAGGTTATTTATACACTGTACACTAGTGTACAGTCAAACCTTGTTCTCTTGAACTTGATGGAACCTAGAAATTTTTTTTTGTGATATCTGAGGGCTAGAGATATTTAGGGTAAAGTATATAAAGAAAAAGCTTCGGACTTGCAGATCGCTTTGACATATACAATATGGTACAGTAAAACTCTTTAAGTACGAACAATGATATTGCAAATTCATGGATATTTACAATGGGCAGGGGTGGTTAATAGGGATTATACTGTATTTCTAGAGTAGAGATATACACTGTATAATATTGGAATATGGGTATCGCCAAAAATTTCGTATCGCAATATATCACAATATTTTCCCAAAATATCACGATAATATCATGATATTTTTACAAGAAATTTTTCGATGATTTTAAATGAATTGTCATTATTTTTCTTTAAAATATGCTAGAAAAACAAATTTTCATTTTTTGGAAATTTAATGTACATAAAATTGTAATCATGATTGGATGGTGAGATGCCGTTCTTTTCACCTTTTACAACATTTTTTGGACTTTCTGTTTGTGTTATTTAAAAAATTGAACAAATAAATGAATAATTTCTGGACTCTATAACTTGTACCCAAATACCAGTATTTAGGTCTCATTGGCGTCGGAAGCAAATTGAAAGTGGGGGGGCTAAGTGTAAGAAAAAATTTTTTGTACCTCCATAAAAACCTGACAAGCAAAAAAAAAAAAAAAAAAAGGAAATGTCTATTTCCCAGACACGAAAATCCTATTTCGTGGGGGAGGGGGGGGGGGGGGGGGGGGCAAGGTTTTTACTAATAAAAAGTCAATATAAATTATATAACTGCAATACATTACCAATTTTAATGTCAGACCATGTGGTGCATAGTTATACATGTAGTAGGATTTATGCTGAAGATTTATGGAGGACCCTAGAAAATTTTTGTAGTTTAATTAGTTTGTAATTTGTGTAAATTGATGAATGCATGTAGTTCATTCATGAGAAAGAACTACTTGAAATTCATAAGGGCTGCGATTCACTGTACATTAATTGTTTTTTAGTCTGTCTTTGAAAAAGTTATATTCAATATTTCTTCTCCATAAAAAATGTAGAAAATAAAACACATAAATCCTGTTCTTATTTTATTTGAGTGCAGGTAAAATTAAGGAAGAAATGCAAGAGATTTTTTTGGACTTTGTCAAGGTCTCAGTAACCAGTAGGAGTTATCCTTCTTTGTATGCTTGCAAATTCATTCCAGATGGGTTGACAAGACGACATGCCATGTACAATTTAATCAACAGCGTAAATTGAAAATGTCATCGGCTTATTTATAAGAAACATTCGGTTTGCTTTTTAAAACAGCTGACATACACATTAGTTAGAGCTTGTCTTTTTCATCTTAGCGACTGTGGACTAAATTAGATATGTCAAAATGTGCGCATTAAGTCAACAGAGATGAGAAGGATATTCTAATTAATACATAGAAAACATCAGCTGTTTTATTTGTTCATATTATTCATAACATTATTTTGTTAAACATGATGTAGAAATTAAATCGTAAAAGGAAAACTGAATTAGGCTTTTAATCATGTTGAGGAAATTAACAAAAATACATTAGTACATAATGTATACTTTATTGTATTCATTAGTTCGGTTTAAATATGTGAATTTAAAAGGAATTAAAGAAATATTTTACTTAAAAATTTTTTAATTAAAAATGCAATTAAAGTGCAAAGGAGAAGGGGGTGGGTGGGGGGTTGAGGTTGATGCATATAATATCTTATCTGACAATGGTGTATTTCTTTTCCCATCAGACATGGATACACCCTCTTTTCTACACTTCTGTGTCTGTGTTAAATTCAGCAAAACTATAATGAAATAAGTGGAACAGACAGCGTTAATTTCAGATTTAATTTACCAGTTTAACCTGATTATGGAATCCATTCAGCAGTGTTATTTCATCTGTCCCTAACACTGCCCCCTGGTGGGGAACTCCTTGTTAACACCCCATTGTAGAGGGTTTCTGATGTATTAAATTCTCTTTCTTGTCCCCCATTTAGTGCTTCTAATTGAATGCAATATCATATTTCGTGTACCTCACTCTAAATTAAAATTGTAAAGGATGATAAAGGAAATGAATACATGTATTATCACATAAAATATGAGTAGAAAAAATTGTATGTAAATCACTGTATGAGAAATTTTACAGTTATTGCATTAGAATCAAAACAATTTAAGGGGATGAAGGATGTTTGGTCACATGACTCAGTTTAATTATGTCATAATCTCTGATAAAATATGTACAAAACAAGACTGAAACAACAGTACTTGTATATTTTTTTGACTGTTTGTTTGAGTTCACCATCTTGTATAAAAATATCTAAAAACATGCAAACTTTCTTGCAAATATTATCAAATTACGGAAAAAATTGATCCACTCTTCTATTTCCCTACACTGCGCGTCCAACGAGTCGTTGTCGTCGAAGTTGCGTCACAGTAGATCTCTCAGTACAGTAAGATTATACACGGTAAAATGCGGATAGTATTATCATAAAAACTGGTCATAATCAGTACATGGTGGGGTATTTTGTGAATTAGAGAGCACAAAAAATATTTTTACATGGTTGTTGATGGAAATATTTTGTAGGTATGTCTTATTTCGCTTATTCAGCAAAAGTGTGACATCATAGTTGGGTTTTCCCGTACTCCAGAAATGTAAACATGACACGTTTTTCTCAAGCTCAAGTCTTGTTTAACTATGTCCTGTGCAATATTAAGCTTAGCTTCACCAATCGATATTTTTACAACTAATCAATAACATGACGATCTTGCATTTCAATGTAAATTTTAAAATATTGAATGACAGGATTTTTTGCAAATTAATTTTGTTGTTGTTTAAATTGTCTTAAAAAGTACGTAATTTTCCGTCTCCAGATGCGATGTGACAAAAGAATATTGCTTTTTCGAATTTTTATCCCTATTCATACTCTGAAATATTTTAAAAGACACATGTTAGCTGACATATTTTTTATCTATATTGAAAAAAATCCATTATGGACCGATTAATGGGCCAAGAAACATTGAGAATTAAAACTCCACTTAGACACTGTGGGGTATAGTATTTGTCACTCAATATCTCAAAAATAAGTCTAGAAACCTATTGATATATATGCTTTAAGGTATGTAGTACATACTATATTAGAGATCTGCAAAATATGAAAAAATTAAGACAGGTATTTTTTCAGCTAAAGGTCCTTCTTCCCCTTAAACCAAAAAAAATTAAATTAATATTGTAGTAAAAATAATTGAGGAATTACAACTTAGAAAGTGAGTAGAAAAATGAAAAATCTATATGGAGCAAAAATGGATGTTTAAAAATTTAAAAACAAACAAATAAACAAAAAGGGGGGAGGGGTTCTAAGCTTACAATATAAATTACAATATACTGTTACACAATTTATTCAACACTTCACTTTTAGTAGCTTTATTATGAATTTTGTGCAGAGTTCTATTTTTTTCCCATGATGTTATTGTAATGTAAACATTGTTTTGATTTTTGGTGTAATGATGATTATAACACTTTGTAGGTTTCCTTTGAATTAGCTGAGTACACAGCTAACGTTGACGCTGTGGGAACGCTGCGTTTGTTGGACGCCATCAGAACATGTGGACTAGCGGACCAGGTCAAATTTTACCAGGCATCCACCAGTGAAATGTTTGGAAAGGTTCAGGAAATCCCCCAAAAAGAGACCACTCCCTTCTATCCAAGGTCCCCATACGGTGAGAAATTCATACAGAAAATGAAAATGTCACTGATCCGTTGCATACTGTAAATTCCTTAATTTTCATAAGTACTTAATACAGATAACAAAATGGTTCTTGGACATTAGGTGAGAACAATTATTTTTTAGTTGATGGTCAATGAAGAGATTTCATCATAGCACCAACAAATCAAATGTGATTCAATCTATTTTGCAAGTGGTACTCTTCGCAAAATTACACAAAAAATTAATTCCCTGCAATTTTTGGGGGAATGTTCAGTAATCATTATTTTGAACAAGTTTCCTCAATAGTCCAACTTCTGGCTTGTTAGTCAGCAAAAAGTGTTCAAATTCTATTCTTTATTTCTCCCACTGATTTTGAAATACATATATATAAAACTTTAAAATTGTGGATACTATTTAAAATACACACGTAATAGTAAATTTATTTAAAATCGATGGATACCATAACAGTATACATAAAAAGTATAATTGTCACTTCTGATAAGTCATTCATTAATTTGCCCACAGAAAAATTTCTTGTAGGGGATGATGAAAAATTCAACTTTTGCCTAAAAAATGGCATTAAGTAAATACATGCTGTAATATAATTGAATTGTTTTTTTGTGTTTCAGGTGTTGCCAAGCTTTATGCCTATTGGATTGTTGTAAACTACAGGGAAGCCTATGACATGTTTGCCTGCAATGGAATCCTATTTAACCATGAAAGTCCCAGGAGAGGTGAGAGGTCATGAACTTAGTTCATAGGGTCAAGTCTTATACATGTATCAGTAACCTAGTATTAATAATCAGCAAGAATGAAAAGAAGTACTGCAAAGTTGTCAGATATGTTGTACAATAAAGCTTGTTAAGTACTAACACGGATATTGCGAATTCACGGATAATTAGGAAAGTTTTCTTGGATCCCAACTATTAAAATGTTATGAATTTCTTATTTGGATATAACAAATTATGGATATAGCGAAGTAATTTCACAGGTCCCAATGACATCATTATAACCGAGTTTTACTGTGTCCTCAATAACATGTTGTACAACATACACAACCACATGGAAGTTTACAAAAATAAGCTGAAAATATTGAAACACTTAAGAGATTTGTATAGGTGTTCCCTACACAAGTCATTTGATTAATTATTTACAGAACAAATGTCACTGGTAGAGAAGAAAATAAATCTCATGTTTAAGAATTTAGAAAAGAAATTAAATTTGATCATTTGGGCCATTGAAGGAATTTTACTGTTTAAAAACAATCTACTGTCATGCTCAAATCTTAAATTTGAAAGAGCACTTGTGACAGGCCAATGTTTATCAACATGGTACTTGCTGCAGGCAGTGCACAAATTGACACTCACCCCGTCCCCAAACAAATATCATCTGAGGTCACCGTCAGCCATCTACTCAGTCGGAAAACCTTCCCATCAGCCCCAGGCAGCTCCCACATCTGTCCCAGCATAACAAAATGTCAAGATGTTTTCTTAGTATTGGATTTTGTTATGGTTTGTAACTTGATAACACTTGCACTCAGTGGGAGAAAATGAATTAAAAATGAAAACCCCGCCCCGTAAGCAAGTCAAAATTTAGCGGAGTTAAGAGTGTCCATGATGTAGGTTTTGTTCCTTTTTCAATCAATTCAAGATTAAACTTAATAATTGTGTTTGCATTTGAAGATAATAGACCATGCAGTTTTTAGAAATGTTTTAGAATAATGACTTAATTTACCTAGATTTCTCATCAGTTTCCTGATATAACACTAAGCAAACATCTTTTCTTTATCCTGAGATGTAGGGATAAAGTTTTATTCTTAAATGATTGACAACAGGATCAGATTCCTGTGAATGTTTTCTTACATGGGGTCATATTCAATCACTTCAAGAGTTACTTTGAATCTGACAATAACTAATTTATCCCACGTCAATCCTTACAGAAAAATAAAGTTGCATGAAGTGGAATTTGCATGATTGGAATAGAAAAGTGGGCTGAATCTTCTTCTCAGTCTGACATTATCAAAACAAAGCGTCCCCTGATCCTCAGAAAAGGGACTTTGTAAAATTGCAGTCAATTAGATGATGACAAGACAATGATGTCTTCCAGTCATTCTGCAAATGAGATTACAGATTGTGTTTTATATCAAATCTCCGACAAAAATCAAAGATATTATAGGAAATTGTGAACTTATGATGAATAATTGAAAATTAAGCATACTGACAGAAGTTTATTGTAAGATCATGTGCTAATCAGGTTAGTTTTTGTTGAATAAAAAATAGAGGATTTAAAAAAAAAATATATTGTACTACCTATAAACTGTGCTGATGGTATAATGTAAGTAGTATGTGTAAAACTATTAAAGCCATAAAAATTAACTAATTAAGCTGTAGCAAAATCTAAGTGATAGCTTTATATTTTAAAAAGGCATACAGTAAAATATGCTTATAGCAAACATGCTTATCATGAATTAATGCTTATAAAGAAGTGATTTTCATTCCCCATGGGTTTTGAATTTATTGGGAAGCTGATGAGTATAACAAATTATATCTAAAACATGTATAATGAAGCAATAGGGCCTGTCCCTGGCAGTTCATTTTAGGCATCAGATTAACTAAATGTAGGTAAATACAAAGCTGTTTTCTTTTAAGTAAAAACGGACTTTGAAAATGCTTTGTTCGAAATCACTACTCAAGATACAGAAATCCAACTTGATAATATTTTTTTTTCTAGGTGAGACTTTTGTGACGAGAAAGATTACGCGAGCTGTTGCTAAAATTATATTGGGACAACAGGAGAACGTACAGCTGGGAAACCTGGACGCTAAGAGAGATTGGGGACACGCCAAGGACTATGTAGAGGTACATGCTGCACACTGAGCCAATATAGATGCATGTATCATGTATTTCTATCTTGATAAAGGAACATTTTAAACTAAAGCTAGATACCATTCCATTCATAAATGTAACGATGTCCGCTTTGTAGTATACATGAGAAAGGACACATGGTTGAGAAAAAATGGGTTTAAAAAAAAATACTACTATATGACGAAAATAAATAGAGATTTTCATATTGCTGATTTAATTTTTCCACAAAATGATTCCCTAGTATAAGAGGATGATGCTAAAGTTTCCAGTTTCTAGATTAAATTAAAATACAGAACATCACTAAGAAGAAGTTTTAGTTTGCATTTCCTTCTTCACTTGTTTTGAGAAATAACACCAGATTGTCTTCAGAAAATTAAGCAAACAAAAGTGGTTCCTAAAGCAAACCTCTGTCAGAAAAAAAATCCCTGCAATAATATTTTTTCATCCTCAACTTTACAAAAAGTGAATGTCAATTTGGCTTTGTACATTGGCGAATTGACACTTTGGAGCAGCAGTTCAATTTTCATGAATAAACACTGCAAACCTATAAAATGGGATTTGCAGAATCCCTTCTTTAAGTTTGTCTCTGTGCTCTAAGTTTGTCTGTGCTTAAAGGTGTATGAATCTTCTGGATTTCTTCACTTAAGAAATGGCATTAACATTCCAATGTGAGGATTATTTTAAATTGATCATATAACATCTGCTTTTTATTGTTCCTGGAATACTAAGAGCAATTCTCCATAACATATTAAGTGATGGAGCACTGTTAAACAACTACAAAATGTATATGGACATCACCTCAATCTAATTCTAAAATTGTTACTTTAAAAATCTACAACTATTTTCATCTTAGAATTGGATAGTTTATTTTTTTCATCATAATAAAATGTTATAAATTGAAATAATTTTATTACCATAAAAGAATAATGGATTGACACTAGATGACTATGATATGGCTCCAGTCGATGAAAAAATTGAACATATATATGTCACATTTAAAAAAAATCTACAGAATTACAGTAATGGTTACTATAGATGACTGTATACATGCATATATATTTGTAAATAATAAAAAAAAAAACCCTATTTTATAGCCTTTTTTTCAAAGAAAAATGTCAGAAACAAAAAATTACCATCTTGAAACTAGTGGTTAAAGAGTGATTGAAAAGTTTCAGTGTAAATAATTTTTGTTCACACAGGCAATGTGGAAAATGCTTCAGCATGAGAAACCGGAGGATTTTGTCATTTCTATGGGAGAAGCCCACAGTGTCAGGGAATTTGTGGAGAAAGCCTTCAAAGTCGTGAATGTAGATATAGTGTAAGTATTCTGAACAAGTTCAGATGATAAGAGTGGATACAGTGTGGATGCAGCTCGATTTAAAATGAAGTAGGTGGATGTGGAGGTACAGTGTTAAATATTGTGGATACTTTGTAAGTGATATGGATAAAGTGTGTAGAGATCTGGAATATGGGTATACATGTAGTGAAAATGTGGACTGAAGTATGTTTGTAAGATGTGGGTAGAGTGAGACATGAAATATGGATATACAGTGAAAATGACGAGATTTGGATAGAAGTACACATGTGTATGTAAGATATGTGGATAGAGTGAGACGTGGAATATGGGTATACAGTGAAAATGTGGATAGAAGAGTAATATTATTACAAATATGTGGATCAGATTATTTATTGATATAGATCAAGGATCTTATGGCACATTGGATGCATGGAGTTAAACTTAGGCACATTATGTAAACCTGGTACAGATGGCAAGCGTTATAATTATAGTCTTGGTGTATGTGGAAGAACTGTTAAAATTGTCATTTTATGATTTGATTTTTATGAATAACACACAGCAGATATGGATTCAAAAGAGAAATTAGGAGAAATTAAATTGATATTGGGAGGGGATGGTATACTTTTAATAGACCAAGGGGTAGGGGGGTTAAAGTTTATAATGATCTTATCCCCAAATAAAAAGTAGCAGTTAATGTATACATTTAGGTTTATCAACTGAAATGATTCATACTATTAAAATACCCCAATAAATACATCATAGCTATTGATTTTAAAAGATAAACAGTAGTAGTAATGTCATCTTAGCTTTAGATTATATCGGGGACAGAAAGCTTTTGTTAATTAGAAATTCCTTTTTATAAGTACATGATAAACATCACGTACACATCAGAGAGATTATAAATCATAAAAAGGAAAAGTATTTATTTTTTCATATTTGCCTTGAGTGAAATGGCTCATAATTTCGTTTGTTTAATTTATTGTCAGTGATTAGCAAAATCTTGTACAACCCCTAAGATTTTAAACATCTGGGGTACACTGGCAATATTTTTCTTTGATGTTGAAAATTGCAGATAGAGACAACTAGACAATTAAATCTTTTTTGTTGATGAAAAACTGTACTTGCAAGCACTAAAATAATATTTCACCATGAAACCTGGACAGAAAAACGCACTTTGCAGATTAATTTGTGTCAGTATTTTAATTCCTTTTTAAATATTTTTAAAGTGTTTAGTTGAGTTGTGACAAAATAAATGCACATATGTCATACACCAAACTACAGGTGCCATGTATTTTTAACAAAAATGGGTTGAGTTATGGAGTGGTTTATATCAAAGTATAACAAAATTTAAATGTGCAGGTATTAATGGCAGCATGTGAAACCTAATAAAACTTGAGACATATGAGTAAATTAATGGTGGAGTAATTCGGCAAAACAGAACACAGCCTCTCGGAATGGTTTTGATTTAATTAGAGTGCATTGTTTACTAGTATCAATTTTTTGAATGGTTGATGATACATTTTATAACAATATCATTCATTCTTCAATTTTTAAATAATTTGCATGTGATTGATGCTTAGATTGAATACAAACAAATTTAATTAATTGCTACATTATTAACATTTTTTCTGTAGATGGGAAGGAGAGGGGGTCATTCCGTCCTACAGTTGTCATTCTTTGTTCAGTTTGTAGTCGTAAATTTTTAAATAATTTTCTGTAGTATAATGTGATACATGATGCTTACATTTTATACTTGGTCAAATGGTTACAGTCAAACAAATTTAATTATATTTAATAGATTGCTATATTTTTGTCATTAATAACATTTTTCTGTATAATCACAACGATGGGAAGGAAATCATCGAGGTATCGGGTCAATTTGAGTAACAAAAAAATAACAACAACAAAAAAAAAAAAAAAAAAAAACAAACAAACAAACAAAAACAAAAAACCGTGTGTTTATTAATTAATTTTGCTATGAATAGAATTTAAACTAAGAAAAAATAAGTTTATTTTTGTTTCTAAAATTACATATCAATATTTGAAATTGAATAGAAAATTTTATTAAATTGTTACAATGGTTAATTATTTTGTGTTATTAAGAATCTATCAAGAAACAAAATTAAATACTAGAAATTTTAATTAGATTATATGCAAACTGTAATAAATGTTGAACTCAAGTTTTTTCACATTCGAAAAAAAAAAGATGTACATCTTTTTAAAAATGTACATCTTCATATTGTTTATTAATTAATTTCTTTATTGTATATAAAATGTACAAGTGGTAAGAGTTGTCATTCTTGGTTCAGTTTGTGGTCGTAAATTTTTCTTTATTGGTCAAGCTAGAGATGGAGCTACATTCTGTAGTATACTGAATGTTCCCTTCTAATACATGTAGCTGAAACACATTTTATACTTGGTCAATTTTATGGTTGTAAGATAGGATGTGCAGTGTAATGAAACTGTAAGGTTAATAAATATTCAATGTTATTTTTGTTTTCCCCTTTTGTGTATTAAGTAATTTAGCCGCGATCATTTCCTGCAGTGCCTGAGCAGGAAACGACATGCCCTGGGGGTTTCACACCTTGCCATTCAACAACACATTTGATTCATTGTTTCATTATTATTTCATCTATATTATTTTCAGAGCTAACCAGAATTTTAATAAAAGTAAAAAAAAGCAAACTTTTAAAACAAATTAATGAAGTATTTAATAGATTGCTATATTTTTGTCTACTGAGAGAGAGAGAGAGAGAGAGAGAGAGAGAGAGAGAGAGAGAGAGAAAGAAAAATAATATGTGATTTGTGTTTGTCGAAACACAAGTAGTTTTTAATGAGAGTTTGGCATTTTTGACTAAGTACACATCATATTTTACTTGCTGGTTACATGTAATTGCGCTGGTAGAAGTATACACAACAAATTAGGAAATATAGTTAATGTGTCGCTACAATACTGAAAACATTAATGACAGGGAGTGAATAATGAAGCTCTATAAGCAAGTATGAAAAAGGGAGATATATGTTTAAAAAAAAATAATTGTGCTTTATATATAAATTTTTGTTTTATGTGTAATTTATTTCCCCCCCCCCCCCAAAAAAAAAAAAAAAAACACACACACACACACAAAAAAACCAAATTAAAGCGACTAGTAACAAAAATAAAAAGATATTTAATGCAAAAAGTGGTTGCAGAAAAAAAGTTGAAGAAATATGTAAATACATGTATAGCATCATTTAATTTTTTTAGTTGAACATATTTTATCAACCCAACAAAATTTAAAAACTTGGATCATCTTCTCATGATACAAAATTTGATAAAATAGCTGTAGTAAAATAATACAATTGAATTCACCAGAAGCATCAACAACTTATTCTTGGTACCTGTACAAAAAAATCTCTTTTTTTAAATGCACATGTATAGTTTTCTCCTAATACAAATAAGTAAAGCTGCTACATTGAATTCCATTAGTAGAGCTTAATGGTCAATACAAGTAATAAACTTTTTTTTTCTTGGATTCAAATTCAAAATGGTAAAAAACTAAAAAAAGGTACACTAGTTTGAGAATTCCCTTAAAATAGAGTAAAATTTTAAAATAAATATTTTAATTAGAATCACACAGTACTGATTACATATTGGAGAAAATTAGCCTACCAGTGAGTCAGGCCTAACACTGCTCATTATTGTTTTATTGTAGAACTACTTAATTTATTTATTTATTTTCATCACAGCCTGATAGTTTTATGACCCCTTTTAGCCATAAAAAGCCCCATAAAATTTCAGATTTCTTACCAAAAAATGCGACAGACGAGAGCCACAGTTTGACACTGAAATCTTGTCACCACCGTTGTTTTCTAATAAATCATAAAAAATGATGCCTAAAAATTTCTTACACACAAAAACGTTTTTGACATTAAAAGTGGTTCAGTTAGGCTTGTAACTGATGAGTAAGATTTAATGGCAAGATGATACAAATGTCTGTTCTGTGTTAAGAGACAGTCTATGACCCATTTTCGTATGGAGACCTTTTGGGCTGCTCTTTGTTGGGTTTGGTACCAAATATCTATAAACAATACAGGAAATTTATCTGTTTGCATTGTTTGTTAGTTAAACGTTACTGTTATAATTGAGCCAAGAAATTTTTCATAATTTCCTACTATAAGAAGTCAGACTTGGCTAATTCATTTTATGACAAAATAGGAAATATATTTAGGAATGTCAAAGAAATTTTAGGAATGATAATCAATAAAATATATTTAAATCCAGTAAGATGTTTGGGTCCATAGTTACAAATGTTCTAGGTAATGACTCCAATATTTGGTTTAATAAAAAATAAATTTAAAAATAAATTAATTTTTTTCAAAGGTTTGAATACTACATTATGAATTTCAAATTTTCAGTATCTAACTTAAGTTGTTTACTTTTAGGAATTTCTGCTGGGAGACTGTACCAAAGCAAAAACAGAGTTGAAATGGCAGCCAAATTACTCCTTTGATGTGAGTAGATAATTTTGATCAAAAATACAGATTTGAGAAAAAGGGAATCTGTCAGAAATAGATCCAATTAAATGCAAAGATTTTAATATTGGTAATGCCAAGTAATGTCATAAAACCAGAACTGACCTCAAATTTCTGTTTGCAATAAATATATAGGTTTTCTATGGGTGACACTATAGCTTTCTGGTCTTTCTATATATATTTTTAGAGAGCTAAAATTCTGCAGTTAGTCTCGCTCATATACAGATAAAGTAGTAATGAAAATGCTTATAAATTATTAAAGACTGTACCAAAACAAACTTTTATTCTGTATTTTTCCATAGGCACTGGTCAAAGAAATGGTTGAGGAAGATATAAAACTAATGAAAACTAATCCTCTGGCTTAATTCAATCACAAGGTCTGTACAATAGTGTATCATTTCTCCTATAAATTTTAGAGAATCCCAAATCTTTTTATTTTCCATTTGTACTAATTTAAAATGCATTGTTCTGGAACTAATGACTTGCAAGCAAGAATTTCCTTCTGAGTTGGTACTCAAAGTTATGGATGAGTGTGAATTTTCATACAGAATAAATCCATGCTTTTTTTTTCAGACTCTTTCCTTAGCCGTACATTTCGTGGGTGGACATACTTTTATGTGGGATCAAATTCTGTTTTTATACATGTATTTATTATGTTCATGAAATACTGCAATTATTATTTATTTTCAATCAATGATTGAAGTGAATTTTTGTGATATATCACCAGTACGTTAATTAATGCTTTATATAACAACTTGCCCTTTAACTGTTTACAAATAGTATAGCGTAGGCTAATTCATTTACTAAAGTATACTATCTTTCTACTGAAATATTTACTCAGTGTTTTTAAACCTTCATTAGATGATCAGGATCAATTTTGATAAGTCAGGTTTAACACATTTTTTGATATTTATACATTGTATATGGTATATATCTGTACATTCGAGCATTTTCTTTTGTCATTATACACACTGAGAGACAACCCTTGTGTGTTCAACGTATTTAGTCCCAGCAGTGACTAGCAAATATTATTACATTAAGATGTAGAAAAACAAAGTTGATCAAAGTTAACATTTAGATTTGATTAGTTGATGTGATTAATGTTGCTGATGAAGGTTGAATACTTCAAAATTGTTAAGGATATTTTGGCATTGATTCTTATTTGGAATTTTACATGTGATTTTTTTTTTATTTATTTAAAAATCTTACATTTCTGTAAATCAAAAATATGCAAGCTGATTTGTTTGTTTTTGTTTTGCTACATATATTTAACTTCAAATTGTCATAAAATGATGAATAGTTTGGATATTATTTATTTTGTAATTCATATTAACAAATTTAATTTAGCCAGTACATGTTTACTTGGATGACAAGTTTTCCCCAAAACTAAATTAATATATAAATTGAATCTATGGATAGTTACAGATAAAAAGACTATGTTACAGTATTATGTGTATGCATAGTATTTAATACAAATTTAGAATGAATCTCAAGAGTGAATTATTATTTCTGTGGTTTATATCTTGTATGTCTATTAAGCTTTTACTTTCCAAATAGTTATGCAATGTATCTGTTTTGTGTTTTGACACAGTGTTTGAAATCCAATGACAGCTGCCTTTATAGAGCTGTTGTGTACATTTGTTTGCTAAAACAACCTCCTAACATTAGTAGATGTAAAGGTTTATTCCCTGAATGGCTACTGGAATGAAACAACAAGTAATTATCACACTCAATTAAGGGGCCTTCTAAGGGGTACAGGTAGACTTACCGGTATGAACAATCTACCATAATTGAAACAAAATAAAATGGAAATTCATCTCATTTTATTTTAATTTGAGCACTATATAAATATTTTGTATACATATTTTTTAAATAAATAATTTTACAAGCACAAATCATAATAAAAACTATAAATTATCTTGAAGTTCTATTGATTAGCAGCACTGATTTTCACATTATATATGAGATAACACTGTTTCACTTTCATATAACACATATTTACAATTTATTTAGTCCATCTCCGTATATTTCTTTGCAACTAAAGGATTGCTATGAAAGGTGAAGAAGTTCATAAACTTCATTTGGATTTTATGATTATTTAATAGAATGTTTTGATAATTCAAAATGAAAGATAAATAAAATAAATTAAACAAAACTTTATAGAAACACTTTATTTATCATACATATATATCTACCGGTATATTATTTAAAAAAAAACCCACTTGTGTTAATTTATCTAAAAGAGTTTGAAAATGTAGCACAAAAAGGGATAATAATTTTTAAGTTCTCAATCAATACTATTAATAATTTGGGGAAAAAATTAAATTCAAGGTACAATAAAAATTTCATTTTTCTTTAATCTTAATTTTATCTACTTATATTTATATATATTTTTATTCAGTATATTTTGGAAAATAGAAAACCCTCTGAATTAAAATATAATTGAATGAATATATCTGATTTACAAAATATTGCTTATCCAGGTAAACACAGGTAAGTCTACCTGTACCCCTTAGAGGGCCCCTTAATTGAGTGTGATAATTACTTGTTGTTTTATTCCAGTAGCCATTCGGGGAACACACCGATGTAAATGTCTTGTGTCCCTTTCTTGTACATGTACATTCCAAGGCCTCAGGTTGAGGTTTGGCTTATTGATGTTGCTAATTTAATAGGATAGAAAAAAAACTGAGGGTGTGTGTATTGCTTCCACTATAACAATCATATTAAACCAGTTGTGTTTCTCAAGGAAGAAAAATCTGGCTGACCTCCATGGACCTAATCAGAGGAAATGTGAAATCCATGTCATTTATCACTAAATGGAAATAAAATTATTAATATCAGATTCTATGTCTTCTTCATTTACTTGTATGTATAGTTTAAGAAACTCACAAATCAAGAGAGAGAGAGAGAGACCTTTTTTCACTAGGCTAATAGGGAAGTAAAACTACGACGGGAGAATTTTCATTAATTTTGAAAAGAAGGGACACCGTTACGAAGTACGTTCATTCGAGGATCTTGAAAATCTCCTTAACGGGTAAATGAATTATAAATAACCAAAACATGTGAGACATTCATCAAGACTGCCACTTACAATCCCAAGGATACAAAATATCAATTTACGTATCATATTATATTATATGCAGCTATTAAGCACTACATTTATTTAAATATAGCACTATTCACCCACTTGCTCTCCTTTGATTATGTCATTTGGTTTCTTTTTGTTCATGGTGATCGGTCGTTCTTTTGTACATATGTCATTTATGACTGAATCACATAGATTTCCATTTTTGTTTTGTACTTTATTTTTTTGTCTTTTTACCCCCATTTTATTTTGTTTTTGTTTGTTTTTCTCCATTTTCATGTGTTCACAGTCTTGTATGTATGCTCCGCCCAATTTGCGATATTGCTCTCACAAATTATACCTTGCGGCTTTACGATCTATTTTTAAAGAAAAATGTATCAATATTTTAATCAAAGATAGGTAATTCTATCGAGCAATATCGAGCCGCTATTGGTAACTTTTACTGCAATAGCAGATGTACGATCCAAAAAGTGTTCTTTACTTTTTTAGATGTCAAAAATCTACATTTATATTTGATAAACTCTAGCAAGAAATGGTTTAAACTACAAAAAATGTGTGGTATTTTTCAAAACGTTTTGCATCTGCAATTTTGGTTTCAAATTATTTTTTTTTCTTGCATCTTTTGTCAGGGGACATTGAAATAAATCCGGGACCTACAAATGATCAAATACACACATTGGATATATTTCATTTAAACATCAGAAGTTTACGACATAAGATTGAAAATGTAACAGCATTAATCACGGATTTTGATATTTTATGTTTCACGGAAACACACTTGGACTCAAGTATTTGTAATAGTGACATTATGATTGAAGGTTATGATACAATTTTTCGCAAAGATAGAAATTCTAATGGTGGAGGTATCATTATCTATGTTTCTTCATGTTTTCGTGCTATTCGTCGCATTGACCTTGAACCCATGTCAATCGAATGCGTCTGGATTGAAATAAGTGAACCTACCTGTAATCTTTTCCTTTGTTGTATATATCGTCCACCCAATAGCGAAAAATCCTTTTGGGACAAATTTTTATGGGCAGTTGAAAAAGTATCAGATATATCCAACAAATTTATAATTGTAGGTGACTTGAACGTTGATTTCCTCGCACACTTCCTATTAAAGACATCATGCTGAATTATCACTTGTACATTCTTATATTCAGCATTCTGGTAGATTTAACTGATTGTACACTTTATTTTTTTTAAAACTATTTGTATAAACAATAATGTAGCAGTCTATATATGTCCACAATGAGAGTTTATTTAATTTACTTGTTATTTATTTTGTACAAACTGTTGAACACTTCTAATTCATCCTGTTATAATATCTCATGTAGGGAGAGGGCGATTTAAGTTTTTAGAACTTGTGCCCAATCCCACTGTATATATTTTGTGCAATAAAATATGTTCAAATCAAGTAAAATCTCTGTAACACTGTAATTATGTAACATCATTTTTCACCCAATTCAAAATATGATCATATTTTCCTTTTTTACACCATCAATAATGGGGATATTTGGATAAAATATTTTTGTAACAATTTTAATATTTTAAAAATGCCAGTTTTGAAATTCTCAAAATAGATGCTATCAAAAGTTTCCCACCATTTAATTTCTGTCATCTTTTATAATTAATGTATGTTTACTTACAATATTAACTTAACTCTTTTCTCACCAATCAATGATTCAACTTTTTTTGTAGAATGTAACAAACGCTCTTCAGCAAAGTAAAGAGGCCCTTAGCAGAAAGAGATTAATTTCTCCACATTCAGAAAAAAATTCTCAAGATAAATAGGCAAATTTATTTCATTTTGAATTTTCTTTTGGGATAAACAAACTACAATTTTAAAAGACTAAAGCATGAGTTTTGTATTTATTTAAAATGAAATAAAACAAAGATTAAGTTAAAGTTTGGCCTATTTGATGTCATTTTAAAGATGAAAGTACCGCAAGAAAAATAATGCTCTTGGTTAGCTCTTGAGAGAGGGATTAGGAATTTGTTGTGTGTACAAATCCAGAACCTGAGCTTTTACTTCAACAGATTTACCAAAAAGAAAAATACCAAAGAGTTTCTGTTTTAGGGCGATGTATCTGGCGTGGGAGCATTTGGTCAATACTGTGTAAGTTACACCAATGCACAATAAATCTACTTTATTTTGACATCAAAGTAGCTTGTTTATGTAAAATTTTAAAATTATACTGGTAAAATTTAGAGCAAATATCTACAATTTTCTCAAACTTTGATATTTTGAGGGGATAAATGTAAAGGGGGATTGTATTCTGACTGAAAAAAATGTGATCCTGGATTGATTATGACCTTTCTCATATATATTTGATAGTTATCACAAGAGAATGTCTTTCAAAAATAAGTTTTTATTTTTTGAATTACATCCTGATTTCTTCCTTATAATGTAAAACTTATCCCAAAGATTCCCGCTTAAAAAATGTAAATCTATGATTTCGGGATTTCAATTTACAGGATATTGAGATTAATTGCCAATCAAAATAAGTCTTCCTTTGTTCTTTCAAATGTCAATATACAGTAATTGAGATTAAAAAAAAACTTCTTCATCGTCTTCCGGCTAAAGGATATTCTCTGACTCCCTTTTGCGGCTATGGACATGGAAATCACTGCACATCACCACAACTAATTACGATCCTACTGGTCTTGTTTGAATTCCTAAATAATTTTTTTTTTCCTACTAGTATTTATTCCTAAATAATTCTTTGACCCCAATTTCAGCCACACAATAGCCAAAGCGACCAATCCTTGCTCTTCAATCTATATGAAAATGCTTTTGTATTATCATAATCAAAAGGACAATGTATATATCCTGCTGTAATATCAAGCTTTTAGCACTATTTTGCAAACCCCAGCTTAGCAACAAGGGTCAAGGTCAAAAAGCAAAATTGAAAAAAAAATATAGGGGAAGCTTTCATCATTCCTGATCCATGGTTCTCGAGATTTTCATTTAA